TTCTCGTGTTCTCTCACCCTCCCTCGAACTCCCCTTTTCCTTTCGTACACAGCAGAACCCCACCATCATAACAACCTTAACACTCCGGCGAACACTGAACGAGATCACTCTCTTTTCCTTATTCTATTTATCTACACAATAATGCCTTTACTATGCAACCTTTTCTCCGGAGAGTTATTGCCGTCTTTGGTGAAGGTAAGCCATGAAACTCCTTCGATCTTCCTCCCTCGTGGTCTAGAGTACATGATTATTGAATAAAAATGGTTTTGGTGAAGGTTTAATCACGAAAATTGCTTGGATAAGCATTTTCCAAATTCCGAGGAGTTCCCACTGTGGCTGTTTGGCCATTTTCAAGTCATTTTTTCTACCAACTCTGATCTTCATTGGGTCTCGAAAGGGTATGAATCTCGTCCTCACATTTCTAACTTCATTTTGACTTTTGAATCAATTGATTTAGAGTTGTATCGAGCTCGGAATGAGCTCTGGAAGTTGGAAGAAAATTCGAAAAAAACTGCATAAATTGAGGAAGTGGCGAGTACCCCTGTATTCGTGGCATATGGGGGATGTTGTGCTCGACATGTGGAGCACACGCACCTCCATCGAAGGTACTGTGCTCCGCCACCATCCACGACGGCAACCGCGGCGGCACCGACGACTATTCCAGCCAATTTTTCAATGACCCAACTTGGCGATTTCGAATTCGGCATCGGCAACTGTTCCGACCAACTTTTTGACGACCCAATTCGCCATCTATTTTCCCAAATTCTATTGTTTTAGTAGAGTTTTAACAAATGGTGCCTAATTGTGTTTAGGTGCGTTGGTTGGAAGTGATCCTATCATCCCTAGTTCGAACGACTCTTCGGTAACAGAATATTTGTGTGTGTTCCCCTTATCAAATTGCATGTTTTTATAAAAATATTAGGCTTGCATTCATTCTACCAGACCACCACCACCTTCTGAATCTCGTCATCTCGAACCCAAGCCAAGGCCTTGGGGACTCTAACAATGGCAAAGGCCACTGTTCATCCTCTCTTGATGAACCCCCGAGGAGTTTTCGCTGTCTTCGGCGCAAGTAAGTCCCTAGAACCCTTTAGATCGTATTTTAGTGTTAGATTAGAGTAGTTTTTAAGTGATAATCACATGTTGGACGCATAAACAACTTGGGAAGCCAGTTCCCAATTTTTTGGCCAGGACCACGATTTTTGCAAGTGTTTTCCTGTCACATCCTAGCCTGGGGCGGATCACTTCCCGGGCCCGCTCCACCACCGTAGCACGATATTGTCCGCTTTGGGCTTACCATTCCCTCACGGTTTTGTTTTTGGGAACTCACGAGCAACCTCTTAGTAGGTCACCCATCATGGGAGTGCTCTAGCCCCCTTCTCGCTTAACTTCGGAGTTCCTACGGAACCCGAAACCAGTGAGCTCCCAAAAGGCCTCGCGCTAGGTAGGGATGAGAATATACATATAAGGATCACTCCCCTGACCGATGTGGGATGTTACAATCCACCCCCTTTAGGGGCCCGACGTCCTCGTCGGCACACCACGACCAGGGTTAGGCTTTGATACCAAATTGTCACATCCCGGCCCGAGGCGGATCACTTCCCCGGTCCGTTCCACCACCGTAGCACGATATTGTCCGCTTTGGGCTTACCATTCCCTCACGATTTTGTTTTTTGGGAACTCACGAGCAACCTCCCAGTGAGTCACCCATCATGGGATTGCTCTAGCCCCCTTCTCGCTTAACTTCGGAGTTCCTACAGAACCCGAAGCCAGTGAGCTCCCAAAAGGCCTCGCGCTAGGTAGGGATGAGAATATACATATAAGGATCACTCCCCTGGCCGATGTGGGATGTTACATTTCCGGCCAACTCCAACCACAACTCAGCCTCTTTTCGATACGAATCTCTTCTCCCCATTCCGAGCTTCATTAACATCAGTTGCACAAATGTTAATCTTAAAAAAAAAAGTAAATAAATAAATAAAACAAAACAAAACATTAAGCTATCATGTCCAAAATACTTCCCAATCCAAAAAATCGTCCAAAATAAATGTGAACATTTTGGAACCAAAAGTTTCAATTGTTGCTCGAAAATTTTCTATTGATTGAATAATTTATTTTTAAAAATATCCTAATTCATGGGGTTTGAAATATGGTTGTCAAAAATAGAATTTAGATTAGTTTAGTGGGTAGGTTAGAGGTAAATAGATGTGTAGAAAGTCTAAAATACCCTTGAATATAACAGTTGTTTAACGGAATAGGGTGAAGTGAGACCAAAAGAGTTGAAAATTACAATTTCAGAGGAAAAGTGAGATAAAACCAATTTCAGAGGGTAAACTGCAGTTCCAAAGGATATTTAAATTAATAAGCCTTATTTTAATTAAGAAAAGACATTATAGTATTTTTATGTCAACTTTTGGTTGGCATTATAAAAAGTTATAATGATTTGATTAGAATTCTATTCATGGTTAATATTTGGATGGCTTTCCAAATTCCCAAAGGATACAACCTTTACGTAATTTTCAATTTGAATGTTTGATTATTAATCTTAAGGAAAACTAATGAAAATGACTTGAAAACTTTGAGTTTTAACGATAAGGACAAAATAAAGGGTAAAATGAATAGTACCAGGTTTGATTTTTTAGTGTAAAAATGTAATTTCTTGTTAAAGTGAATAGTACCGCGGACTTTTTGTTAAAACTCCCTTAATCTTAAAGGGCAACATTACTTTTTGTAGCAAGCTAGTACTTAAAGGTCAGTTTTCTCTTTCATTTTATTTTAAGGAAATTAATGAAAATGATTTCAAAAATTTGAGTTTTAATTAAAAATTATCCTATAATTTTATTTAATGATAAGAACAAGAGAAAGAATAATAATAAAAAAAAAACCTAACCAAGGGCGCGTGCAAAGAGCACCCAACCAACCCTTCATTTGCATAACCTTATTGGGCTCACGTTGGGCTCGTGCTGAGTTGTGGCTCCAGCTGCTTCTGGCGCGACTCGAGCCATCTCACCATGGGCGTGGGCTGGATTGGCGTTGGGTGCTACTGCCTTAGGCTTGCAGCTTCTGGGTTTGCTAAGGTGTAGCGATTTGGTTTGCTTCACTCTGGGCTGACTGCCTTATGGCATGGGCCTGGGTCAGCTGCTGCAAGGTAGCACGAGCTTGGGTTTGCTGCTACATGGCTGCCTGCTCACCGTGGGTAGAAGGCTCGCCATGGGCTGCCGCAGTGGTGCCCTGTGAGGGTAGTGCTAATCATCTAGCCATCGTGTTAAGTCTCATGGATTGTCGTGGTAAGGCTATGTAACGATCTCCATCACTTGTTCTGGATCTTAAAATGCATGAAATTCTGTTCATCGTGGTTTCCAATTTTTCCGTCATTTTACTTTTCTTTTACATTTATTCAAATAATTTTATAAAAAAATTCTAGGAATAAGAACGTACGAAAAATCTATGAATGACCGAGAAATGAGAAACTTTGAATGCGAAAGTCTTCTTCGAGCATGTGAATCAAAGTCTCAATGAAAGCATCAATTTGTGGATGCAAATTTCCGTCATCTTCTCCCTTGACGAAAATGTACTTGCAAAATAATAACATCTAAGATTAAGGCCAAAAGCCTCATGCGCCCACGATGAATTGGGGGGAAGGGCTTTGGCAGAAGAATCTCTTATGCCAAATTTAGAATTCTAGAAAGAATATGTATAGGAGTTTGTGGGTAGCAAATGGCTTAGCATTTTAGTGGGATAAGTGGGGTATTTATAGGAGGGTGGCCAACCCTATTGGTGGAGAATGGCCGGGCGTATATGGTGTAATTGGGTGAATAATTGTAAGATATTATGTGAAATAATATCTTGCAATTAACATGGCAATTCTTCCTAAATTAAATAGGAAGTTTTGAGAGTTACATTTTGAATAAAATCAATAAGGGATTGATGAAGGGTGATGAGAGAGATTTGATAAATACCATATTGATCACCTTTGACTCTTCCTTGATTGAGTTGTTATTGTCTATTGCATACGCATGATAATCTTGGTATGCCTCGAGGGTAATTTTGTCCTTCTTGTTAAAAAATTCACGTCTCACCTCCACAATTTTTGGGATTATTTTTTACTCCGCATTATATGCATTAGGTCAATCATTGTGACAATATCTTAAACTAAATACATTATTATATGGAAATAAGTGGCATTGCACTAGACATTTAAAGTATTGCCACGTTACTATTTAAAGTATCTCCATATTAATGTATTGGTATTCTAGAGGCGTAAATAAATCCCTCATCTTGCAAGACAATGACTTACACGACATGATTATTGCCACTAACATAATAGTTTGTGCCAAATATACAATGAAATATATAAGTTTCTCCTGAATAGATTGCATCATTGACATAAAATGTTCTAATAATAACTTATCCGTGCTAATCTTGATATAGCACGTGCAAGAGAAGTAGTGTGAAACCCAAATAAGAAGATACGCCAATTGAACACACATGTAACATTTCTTCTATAATTTTTTTAAGGAATTGCTATTTGCATTTTAAAAATCTTATTCTACACTTCAAACTTTCTATATTTGGAAAGAAAAATATACTTATGAGGAGTATAAAATGAAAATTTTGAAGTACAAATAACATTTTTCTCTTTTTATTTAAAAAAAAAATACGATATTCATTTATAAGAAGCAGAATACATACATCATGAAGGATAGAATGCATTCAATGGGCCTCGTCCATAATTGCAAAAAAATCCCCAACCCCTTAATCTGAGGTCCAGACACATTACACCTCAAATATCACAAGTTGCAAAACCTAAAATATCCCCTAATTTCAAATTCTCCAAAATACCCCTATAGGCTGTCCAAGGTGCGGCCGTCAGCATATTTTAGTAGGGCTAGTTTAGTAGTTTGAAGTCCAAAAATAGAATTATGGATAAAACGAATTAGCTAATATAGAAATTAATTACGGTTTTTTTTAATGAAAATTAATTAGGACATTAAGCATATCCTGAAAAACACGTGCTAGCAGTGGAATGTAGCACCGCTCCAATTCCCCTCAGTTTTCGCTCCAATTCGGAACCCTCCAATCCAAATCGCTCACCATAAAAATTTTCCTGAGAAAATCTTTCAAATTTCCCAAGCGAGAAAGAAAGTGAGGGAGAATCGGAGGTAGAAGAAGATAATGCATTCATTAAGCCTCAAAGTCTGCAGTAATTGCTGTCCGGGGACGACGAGGACGTGTTTGTCGGGGCGGGGGAGCTTCGGCGTCGCGAATTCGGAGGTCCGGAACTTGAGAGTCGGGTCGGGGCGTGTGGATTTTGGGAAATCGGGTGGGGTCGTGGCGTGCGCCGCGGAGAGGAGCGGGGGGAATGGGTGGAGTGGAAGTCGGAGTTCGAGTCCGAGTTCCGGTGCGGGTCAGAAACCAAGTTCGTTTCTGTCTCGGAGTCAGAGCTGGGCTTTGTTGAAGCAGCAAATGGAGGTCGCGTCGAAATCTGAGGTGAGTAAAATTGTAAATTTTAAACTTTCTCGCACTTTCCTTCGTTTTCTCGGAATCCAAACAGAGGATTATGGTTTTTAAGCTTGAAATTGTAGGATTACGAGGAGGCGGCGAGGATACGGGACTCGTTGAAGTTGTTAGAAGAGGAAGAGCCGGTTTTGTGGCTCCGAAGAAGGATAAGGGAGGCAATTGCTGAAGAGAGATTTGAGGTAAATAAATTGAGTTAATTTGGAGGGTGTTTATTGCTAATTAGCATTGAGCTGAAAAATACAACACCAAATTCATTGAAAGTCTTGATTTGATGTGCCCAGGATGCCGCGAAATATCGAGATGAGCTAAAGGAAATTGCCCCTTACTCTTTCTTGAAATGTTCAAGTGATGCAACAACTTTGGTATGAGAATATGCAGTATTTCATCACATAATTACATTGCTCTTTTGATTTAATTTGTTTCTTTGACTTTTTAGAACTGTAATTATCGTGACTGCGTGCATTAATTCAATTGGGAAATAAGATACTTTTAGAGTGGATAACGTGAATTTTGGTAGTGTGAGCAAAAGAAAAATAATTTTGATGGAAAAGTTCACTTGCTAATTTAATTGGATGAATTTGAAATGAAATCCTTGTTTCTTCAGGGTATTCGGGTCCAAGTTAGGAGTGTGTTCATAGAGGGCAGAAGTCAGCCTTCGAAGGGGCAACACTTCTTTGCATATAGAATACGAATTACCAATAACTCAGATCGCCCTCTTCAACTTCTTAGAAGGCATTGGATTATCACGGATGCCAACGGAGAATCCGAAAATGTCTGGTGAGTTAGTTTTCTTTTCTGTGATATCTCTTATCTCTTCTGGATTATCTTATTTTCGGTTTCCTGCTCGCAGTTAATGGTAGGATATTTCTTCTTCTTTTACCAAATATATTGTGTATTACTTTCGCTCATCGTAGGGGGATTGGTGTTATTGGTGAACAGCCAGTTATTTTTCCTCAAACGAGTTTTGAATACTCATCAGCTTGCCCATTAAGCACTCACAGTGGTAGAATGGTAAGCATGAAATCATATTTATAAAATACATTTAATTGGTTTTGTACTTTGATACAATCCGAAATAGAAAGGCTCAAACTTTATTTAATGTGGCTTGTGCGGTGAGATACCCTTTTCAGTTGCAGATTACGGCATATCTACGGTGAAGCTTTACATTTATGAATATTTCAAATAAAGCATCTCTATAGCTGGAACATTGAGAAATTAAAACGAAAATGTTATTTTCTTTGTGAGTTTTTTTTTTCTTTTTCAAAATACTTCCAACAGTGCATATATACGATTAGAAAGAATTTCAAGATGGTACCTAGTTTTTTTATCAATCACATTATCACTTCCAATTACAGCATTCACTGATTTGCCTATCTTTTGGGCATATGTATGATGGAGTACAAATCCATCCATTCATAATTGAGTAACCTATAGGTGTGAACCCCATCAAAAGTCACTTGGCATGTTGCACATATGAGTCGCCTCCAGCAATGCTGTGTTGTGAGGCTGGCCCCCGGTTTTTCTGAGTTGCCCCCAGCAATGCTGTGTCATGAGGCTGGCCCCCGGTTTTTCTGTTATAGTGAAGGTTTCTTTGTCTAAAGTTAGTGGTTATGGAAATTTATATATCGCTATAAGCTCTATGAGCAGTGAATGCACCTTGGAGGAAAAGTCTTGGGTTAAAACCTGTGTTCACGTACTTCCATTGTTGGAGAAAAGTTTGATAGTTCGTTTGATCAATTTTCTTTTTACTGTGGTTTCCAAATGATTTGATTTGCTTCTTCGTTGAACTGAAATACTCTTATGTTGCGTTTGGATTTGTGGATTTAGAGAAAGGTATTGGGATTTGATTTCGTATTGAAAATGTGTTAGAGACTCTAGAACTGTTATTTGGTGTGTGTGCGACGGATGTGAATTTGATGTTTGAAATGGCTGAGAATTTACTCATGGAAAAAGTGCTATTTCAAATCATTGAATGCAGAGTTTTTCTTCTCAATTATTAGCCGAAGCTTCAATGTTTTCTTTTTATGTTTTGAACTTTTGATGCAGACAAACTTAGATTAAACATACATACATCGCTATCCTTTGTTTTTAAATCCACAAATCCAAATGCAACTTTAAAGAAATTGACATACATTTTGTTTTCATACAATGCAGGAAGGTGAGTTTGAGATGAAACACATCAATAGGGTAAGTTCACAATCGTTTAACGTGGCAATTGCTCCCTTTGCCCTCTCGATATTGGAAGATGACATTGACACCTTTTGAATTGTCAGAAGTGAGTCGTGGCATCCCTACGGAGGACAGCGGAATTTTATTCCGTATTGTATTCAGTAATTTAGGTGTAAAAATCATTTCTGTTCCTGAGGAATTGGTACATAAACGAGTAAAGTTCTACGTAGCAGATTTAGGAAAACGATTAATTTGTAAAGATGAAAGTATATAGGTTTTGTGACAGTTTTGTAAGGGAATATGTTTGTGTAAGATTCTCAGTAGCCTAGAGGTTGGATGGATACTAGTAGTTTGAAATCCAAGCTTAGGTATCTAGTAGGCTTATATGACAGTCATTCTTCATTGGCATTGTACGCTCGATCGTTCTTAATGTTTCGGTGGCATGGTGCATGATGTGAACAGAAAAGTGCCGAGTATGTTCGATGAATTGCAGGATGAAGAATCAGGTTTCTTGTTTATGCAATGTCGAATTTAGTTGTTCATCTGGTATCACGTATGTGTTTAAGTTGTTAGTTCTAATCTGTTAATTTGTTTGACTTGTATCCTATGATGCTGTTGCTGGTGTGATGTCGTGTTGCCTTGCGCTTAAGAGTTATGTCCTTTCAATGTAGGGTAGTGCTGTCCACATACCTATTTTTATTTCTCACACCTTTCTCAATTTTTGGCTGTCGGATGGAATGTATTGAAGAAGATAAACGGCTAAAAAAGTAGGACCTTTCTCAATATATTCATGACCAGAGACAAAAAGTCACCATGTATTTACTGGCGTTTGGGGAGCTTATGTGTCCTTTGGACTCAAATGATAAGTTTTTACCATTCAAATTTTCAGCTCCATTTAAAAAAAAAAAATATTTGTGGCGAGAAAAAAAAAAATTCGTGTCGAAAATGAAAGGATTGGGAAACGACCATCAAATTGAGTAAATCAAATGAAGCAACGAATATAGTTATTTGGACAAGGTGGATGGGGGCATATAGGAGAACAACTTACCTACACGAGGGTGCATGCCTCTTTTTCTCATAAGACTCAAGTTACGCAATGAGTGCTACATTAAGAGAGTATACACCTCGGGACATGCAAGTTTTTCTCGTCGCATAAGTTAGGTTTTAATAAGTGTAGTGTGAGGAGGCTTTTGAAACACCAAATTTCCATAAAAGAGGGATAGACAAGCGTCTGGAAGTCCCATCTTTTGTCTTTTAACATTCTTATACTCAACAATTATTGTCATTAACTTCCGCCCCTTTTTCATGATCATGCAGATTGTATTTATAACAGCATCCTACACCTAACCAATCGACAAATTTTTTAAGTTATCAACCATTTGTATTATTACACTTGGTGTACCGGCTCTGTTTTCGGCACACTGAAATATTTCTCTAACCAATTATTTTGCTAGCCTTCCTTCTACAAATACTACCACACTTTCCATGATCATTCTGTAATCTCTGTAACATTAGTCACTCGTTTCAACCGATTAACTCATCGGCTGCTTCTACAAAAGCACTTTTGGGATCCCTCGTCACCATGGGAAGCTTCATAATCGGTCTGTTTCTCTCTCTCTCTCTCTCTCTCTCTCTCTCTCTCTCTCTCATTGTTCTTTGGTTGGAATATTCACCATGCTTTGAGCATGGGTCTGGTATTGAATCATTTGCACTTGCACCCATTAAGGACAAAAACTAGGTTGGAAAAGAAGATTTTTGTTAGATTTATTGAACTATGATCTGTTATATTTGAAGTTTGTTTCGAGAATCACGCTATGAAATTCGAAGACTCGCAGATAAATGAGTTATGCTAGTTGGTTTGGGCTGTTTGCTCACCTCATCGCACCCAAATTTGAATCTCTCACTTTGGCAGATTAAGAGTAGTGTAGAATATAAAAAATGCTTAAAAAAGCCACATTTATGAATTAGATTAGTTGGCTCGGGCAGCATACGCATGCATGCTTTTTTAACCCTGTATTCAAATCTCTCTTTCCGTAGACTAAGAGTAGTTTAGAATACTGAAAATATGACTTTAATCCCTCAAATTCAATTTTTTCCATATAAAACCCGACATAATTTTTTTACTAAAAAAAAAAACCAGTGACTAGGATCCATTTAAGTGAATTCATTAATTACATATTAATTTACACATTTTACATTTTTAGATGCCTAAAATACCCCTATTGCATATTTGATGTTCACAATTAATTCTATGCAGATTGTAAACAGAGAGTTAATGGCAAAAAGAAAAATAAGACATTAATGTTAAAAAATTCATTGCATATTAATATCAAATATGAGAATTGTTGGCTTAATTCTATGTATTTGGCATTATGTGTTCATATATATATATATATATATATATATATATTTTTTTTTTTTTTACAAACAAAAAAGAAAAACCTAATATATGTAATAATACATAAAATAAAACAAGTAATTTACCTACCATGTACAAAAATGTTATTTGATTCAAAATGTGTATAAATATATATATATATGTGTGTGTGTGTAGGGGTGGAAAAAATTCCCAAAAATCCCGAACCGAACCGAAAAAATCCCGATCCCAAACCAAAAATTCCCAAACTGAAATTCCTGAAATTTTCGGGATGCTATCCCGAACCGATCCCAAAATTTCGGTATGGGATTCGGGATTGGCTTCTCGATATTTCAGGAATCTCATACCGAACCGAAAATATATAATATTAATTATTATATATATATTATTCTTTTATAATTGATGCTAGTAGTTTCTAATTCATGCTCTGCAACCTAGAATGCCCTACACCTTGCATATTTTTCATGTTTTGTTTGATATTCATGTGGATTTTATTATTGATGCAGCCATGGCTGATGATTTTAGAAGGCTTGATTCTTTTGTCTCTCAACATATTGCAAAAAGGGTTTAATTAATTTGAATTTTGACTATGATAAAAACAGTCAGGCATGCCAGTGTTCAATTAAATGGTAGTGTGAATGAAATGAAATTCCTAGTTCATGAATGTGTTCTTGAATTATATATTTGAAGAACAATTCATAATTTCATATTTCAATTTGGGATTCCCGATTTGTCCCAAAATCTCGAAAATATTTCGGGATTCCCGAAATTTGGGATTCCCGAAAATTTGGTTTGGGATTGGTCTTCAAGTTCCCGTCCCGAAAAATTTTAGTTTGGGATTCGGGATACTAGTTTCGGTATGGTATCCCATACCGAACCACCCCTATGTGTGTGTGTGTGCGCGCGCGCGCGCGCGTGTCTTTATATAATTAGACCATATTAATTCACCTACCTACTATTTGAAATGTTCATTTCCAATGATGCAAAATATTGTATACCAACAACAAAATATTGCTTAAATTTAGGAATTGGATCATGTTTTTGATTGTATCTTTTTACCTACAAAAAATCATATACATATTACTTTATATATTTTTACCAAAAAAAGGTCCCTAATAGGCTAATATATGTAATAATACATGAAAAATAATTTACCTATCATGTATACAAAATTGTTATTTGATTCAAAATATATAATCTAGGTTTTCTCAAAAAAAAAAAAAAAAAAATATATATATATATATATATATAATCAAGGTTTAGTATATATATTTTTTATATGATTGGAACAAATTAATTTACCTACCTACAAATTAATTTCCAATAATTTACCTATGAAAAAATTATACCCTATGTGTAATATAATATCTTTTTTTCACTAATAAATGGAGAATAATTTACCCATAACAAGAAGAAATGTAATTTGATGTATTATATTGAAAAATATTATGTTATACCTGTCACATCCCGGCCCGGGCGGGACCACTTCCCGGGCCCGCTCCACCACCGTAGCACGATATTGTTCGCTTTGGGCCTCGACCACGCCCTCACGGTTTTGTTTTTTGGGAACTCACACGAGAACTTCCCGATGGGTCACCCATCCTGGGAATGCTCTCGCGCACTACTCGCTTAACTTCGGAGTTCCCATGGAACCCGAAGCCAGTGAGCTCCCAAAAGGCCTCGTGCTAGGTAGGGATGGGATATACATATAAGGATCACTCCCCTGGGCGATGTGGGATGTCACAATCCACCCCCCTTAGGGGCCCGACGTCCTCGTCGGCACACCCGCGACCAGGGTTAGGCTCTGATACCAAATTGTCACATCCCGGCCCGGGCGGGACCACTTCCCGGGCCCGCTCCACCACCGTAGCACGATATTGTCCGCTTTGGGCTTACCATTCCCCTCACGGTTTTGTTTTTGGGAACTCACGAGCAACTTCCCGATGGGTCGCCCATCCTGGGAATGCTCTCGCGCACTACTCGCTTAACTTCGGAGTTCCGACGGAACCCGAAGCCAGTGAGCTCCCAAAAGGCCTCGTGCTAGGTAGGGATGAGATATACATATAAGGATCACTCCCCTGGACGATGTGGGATGTCACAATACCTATATTTATACGAGAATAAAACGTGCCTAATATATATAATAATACATGAAAAATAATTTATCTACAAGTTAGAGAAGTGTTATTTGATTCAAAATATAAAATATGGATTTAGTATAATTTTTTTTTAATAATTGGAACAAATTAATTTACTTCCCAATTAATGCAAAAAATATATATCACAAAAAAGGTAAATTTTTGGTATGATATGGATACAATTAATGCAATACAACAGTTTATATATTTTATTTCACTTTATCTAAAACTTTTAATTTGGAATAAAATTTAGGGATTTGGGAAAGTGGCATAGGTGTAAATAAATTGTATTAGTAGGTCTATAGTATTTTGATGTGGTTGCAGATTTTAAATTTGGGCTTTTATTGGACGTTGATATGTATATAGATTTTTATCTAGGAATCATTAATTAATTGTAATGGTCAAAATCTAAAGCACCCTTCAAACTATCGGGAAAGAAAATTACTTTAAAAAAAGCCTAGTGACCACCAATTAACCTCAATTTTGCTAACCTATCCTTTTGGCATGAACTAACCGAAGAGGAAGAGGAATCTTCTGTCTGAACTAAACTAGCTGTGACGTGTGTAGAATGAATGATTTGTTTGCCACCTAAATCATATTCTAAAACTTCATTAGCATAATTAACAAATTTGTATACTTTATCGATCCACCAAAAACAAAACAAATTTGAACTATTCAGTGTTTTCATTTCGAATAATAAACCAATTAGCCTGCGGTGACGACAATGGGTCTTGAGGTGCGGCATCTAATCATTTTTTATAGTCTGTAAGTACTTAATTAGTACTTTAATTATAATGTTAAGTACCATACTTAGTTGTTATAAACCAACATGTTCTCACTCCTCATCCTATTCTCTAACCCTTGTGGGAGAGGGAGGAGGGTTATCTTTCCTCCTAATATCTTTCTCCTTTTCTCCTCTTCTACTTGAATGGCTACAATTAAATCACGTTAACATTTTATATAATTTTTATATAGAGACAATAAGATAAAAATGAGAGTGTGAGAGAAGGGGAAGAAATGGGATGAGAATAGAAGGGGAAGGAATCCTACTCAGTGTGGGAAACGTTCTTCTGTCCGAAAATCAGAGCAATGACAATGAGAGAGAGAGAGGGCGATGATAAGTGTGTGAGCCTTAAAATTAGGAGCGTGGTGTATGTGTGGTGTTTTGTGTTTTTGACACTTTGATACACGTGGTCTAGATGCTAGATTTTGTAATTTATCTTTTTGTGGGCACTTAAAAGTTGGAAAACTTTTTCATGTTACATAGTTTTAAACGCTACAAACATTAAATGATCTGAATTTATTGCCCATTGTAATTTTATAACAATATATGAGTGAAATCCCCTGATTTATGGTTGCCCATTGTCCAAGCAATTAGTGGTGTCTGCCTAAGATTTCCGCTTGCTTGGCGACCACGCTTGTCACGGCCTTAAGTAAACGACTATTTTCTACACCTTCTTTTCAATGCACCTGTCAATTTTCACTTCATATTACGTAACGCGTTAATCAAAAGCCTATATATATATATATAAACTAAAAAGAACTGCTCTGCAAAATTTTATTTTTATTTTTATTTTTCTTTTGTATTTTGTTTCTTCGGTGTCTTTTTCTTTCCTTTTTTTATTGTTCTATAGCTTGTGATGAAAGCTATAAAGCCATTCAGGGCGGTGAAATTGTTGTTCCATTTTTATAAAACATAACAATCCGTCAACTAGTAGACACCACATTCTTAAGTAGGTCTGCCGCATAGGATGGTTTTACGGGCAATACTAGCGTGAGATTAGATGAAACTAAATACGTAGTGGCGTAGTTTCTTATCGTTTTATGATATTGGTTGGAATAGAGCAGAATAAAGGGGTGGGACTAGCATGAACTCGGATGAGATTGAAATGTCGAAATTCTCATTCATTTGTAATGTTAGTCCGATTATTCACATGATTAGTTAGGCAACTTGATCGAAGATTTTTTCGTGAGAGAATAATTCTCTACCCTCTAAATTCCATTCCCTCCCCTCTTCTCTCACTTTGCTATTTTTCTTTCTTTCTCTATAAAAAATTAACAAAATATGTTGATATTGCTTAATTATGAACGTTTAAACAAAAGAAAACTAAAAAAAGAAAATTTAAAAGTGAGAGAATCTCATGCTAACCAATAAGACGAGATATTGTGATTAAAATACGTGGCATTTTCTGGTCTAACAGACAAGTCAGGAAGGTCACACAATCTGTGAGGCTATGAATCTCATGCTTCAACTGAAAGCTAACACAATCATTACTCTTTACACATTAGAGACCCCACCCATTAAGGATTCAATAAGCCATGCAAGTTCCGAAATTAATGGGTCCTACTACTCCCATGATATCTAATTTGATTGAAATAACCATGACTTCATGGGTCCCAAATCATTGGTCAAAACTAAGTTGAAATCACAAATCATGGCAACTCAATTAACCCAATTCCTTTTAACATACATTTACTAATCCAGATATATTAGAGCTGGTTTGAAATTGCTATTTAAAAAACACTTCTTCTTGTATGTGCTTTTGTTAAAAGTTTTTTTTCTTTATAATAATGCTTATTTTAAATCTAAGTGGCTTTTAAAAAGTACTTAAAAGTGTTTTTTCTGAAAACATTTCTATTACCTCATAATTAATATTTCTAATTTAGAGATACATTATAAGAAGAGAACATTTTTGCTCATCACCTTCAAGTGATGAGGGTGGTGTACATTCCACCATTTGAAGGTGGTAATTTGCTTGTAACACGATCATGTACATTAAGTGTCATAATATAATTAATTAGATCAATATTATCGACATACTGAAAAATCTATCAAGAGTTATGAGCAAAAATGCACCTATAGAAATTAGAAACGTTTACTTTTTTTTATGTTTTTTTATAAGTTGCTTTTGAATGGGTTAACTGACTCAAATCCACCCAAATACAGTTTGCTTTATTCCTTGATCTAAAAACCAGTCTTGGTACTCAAAAAGAATATCTTCAAGCATTAATTCCAAATTCCAATAAAAAATTCAGACAATTGTTCCGTGGTTGGTCTCTTTTTAAATATTGGTAACTTAAAAAAGACATAATATTAATAAAAATATAATTATCCAAGAAAGTTGATGAAAGCTTACATTTTATCGGTAATTTAATATCTGCATGGAAATGTAGAGAGAGAATTAAGACTCCAGAGGACTTTGGTCTATTTTGCAAGATTTTTCTGAATATATATATATATATATATATATATATTATATTATATTAGGAAAGTGAAAGCCTCGTGCCTTCTGCTCGAAGCATTCCATCCTTTTCCTGTCCCTCTCCCTCCCCACCCCTCCACTTTCTCTCTAGACGTCTCTCCCTCCACAGCAAAGAAGCAAAGCATCTCTAATACCTTTCAAACACCTCCAAGTTTTGTTTGCTTTCCCTTGTAAGTATCAACCTTCCTTTGCTTAGAATTTTGCTGCTGCTGCTTCTTTTCATCCCATTTTTATGTATAATTATAGTAAAATTATCGAAAAAATGTCTGTTTTGTGTTGCCTTTCTCTGCAAAAATCTACCTAAAGTTTAGAATCTCTGCTTAATCTCAATCCTTAATGTGTTCATATATGAGTAGGGTTTTGTTTTCTGGCTTTTGAGTTTGCATTTGATCCCATCAACAACCAAGTTCTTCTGCAAATGTGGTTTCTTTGCAGTAGTACTGTATTATCTTGCTTCTCTCTTCTTCCTCTCTGGATCTGGATTTTCGAAAATTTGTTTGTCATTTGGTTGTTTCTTTGAGCATTTCGACTTTAACTTTTTCATCACCTTATTTATTCCTCCACTTTATTCTTTTATTTTATTTTATTTTTTGAATTTTTTTGTGATTTTTGAAGCTCTTTGATTTCGAAAACATCTTCTGCCTTTTAGGGTTTTTGTAGATTTCTTAAAATTTAAATTATTTTATTGAATTTCTAATTTCCTCAGCTGTTCTTATCTCTCTCTCTCTCTCTCTCTCTCTTTCTCTCTCTCTCTTTTCTTTCCCTGCAAGTTTCCCTCTTTTTTTTTTTTTTTTCTTTCCCTACAAGTTTTTTTCTTTCCCTGCAAGTTTCCCCTGTAAAATAATTTACAACAATTCTTTATTTTGTAAAACTAAATTTTGTTTATTTACCAAGTTTCAACTTGTTTTCTTACTCTTTGACGATTTGAAGACAAATTTCCAGGCAATCCAAATCATTGTTTAAGTGAAAAAACGATCAGATAATTAAGTAAAAAGGTTATAACATCATGAGTTTAACAACAGGAGTTCCAAAAGGTTCTTCTTGGCAGCCAAACATGACTGCAGACACAACAACTCCAAGTTACTGGCTCAACTGGCGGGTCTTGCTCTGCACCGTGTGGATTTCGATTGCGATGACTCTTTCGGTGTTTGTGGTGTGCAAATACGAAGCAAGAACGGGCATTTCAAACCGCGGTAGCGGCAGAGAAACGCAGCAACAAACGCCTGCAGGATCATTGTTTGAGGATGAGACCTGGAGACCTTGCCTCAAGGGAATTCATCCGGCTTGGCTTCTGGCTTTTCGGGTTTTCGCTTTCTTTGTGCTCTTGATTCTGCTCGTCGTCACCGCTTTCGTGGATGGAGGCAGCATTTTTCTCTTCTACACACAGTAAGTTGTCATCTCTTAAGCCATTTGATGAACACAATAGCATTTTAGTCTATCTGCGATTATACGAGTCCGGCTTTTCCGAAAAGTGCTTCTCCAAATCTTTTAATTATTTGGCTTCTGATTAATGATGTTATTTTGGTTTTCGACAGATGGACTTTTACATTGATCACAATTTATTTTGGGGTAAGTTCCTTTTCTGCTTGAATGTTCTTGTTCTCCTTTTTTAAGTATCTTTCGATTTCTGCTGATGTCGATTTTCATGTGTAGCTTGGATCGTTGCTCTCCATTCGGGGATGCTACTGCTACCATAAGAAAACTGCCGGCGATAGGGTTGATAGTTTTGAGGTGGATACAGAGCAAGGCTCTACTCGTGCGACTCCTTCGCATGTAGTTTCTTGTAGTACTTCAACCACAGAGAAATCCTCAGCCCCCCATGTCGAACAACCTCAACCTCGCCAACCTGCTGGCTTTTCGGGTTATGTCTTCCAAATAATTTTCCAGGTTATTAAAATGTTTTAGGACTTGTAATTATCACTTGGTCTTCAAGAATGTGCAGCATAATCTTGTTTAATGCGCTTAATCGCCATGTTTTTACATGTAAACAGATGAACGCCGGTGCTGTTCTTCTCACAGATTCCGTCTTCTGGTTCATACTTGTTCCATTTCTTGCAATCAAAGATTACAACTTGAATTTTGTAAGTGCAATAAGCCATATAATACTCTGCCCTGCTCTTCTCTGTCTGTCTTAGATTTTCTATCATCTCATAATCTCGTGATTAGTTTACGTAATCAGTGATTATGATACTAAACGAACATGTTTAATCCTTTCTTTGACAGTTCATTGTAAATATGCACACGATCAATGCAGTTTTCTTGCTTGGCGATACCGCTTTGAACAGCTTGGTAAGTTGCCCTTCTCAGCTCAAATTTCCAATTCACTGCAGGGTAAGGGTTTCGAGTTCTTATCATGAATACATTGACGATTAATATCGATAAATTTCTCGATTTTCAGCCCTTTCCCTGGTTCCGAATCGGGTATTTCTTCCTGTGGACAGTCTTTTACGTAGTTTTCCAGTGGCTCTTCCATGCTTGTGTCAAGTTCTGGTAAATTCATCATCTCTTTGGTTTCCCATATTGCAGACCATTTTCGTATCATTTCGCTGCACCATAAGCTTCTACTTGTAGTGACGATTTTCGCCTCTCAAAAACAGGTGGCCGTATCCATTTCTAGACTTGTCATCACCATATGCTCCGGTGTGGTACTTGTCCGTCGGTCTACTGCACATCCCATGCTACAGCATTTTTGCTCTGATAATGAAGCTCAAACACCATCTGTTTTCGACGTGGTGGCCTGAATCGTATCAATGCGCGAGGTAGTTCAGGCGGCAAGCTGAAGCCAGACACCGTACAGCATCCCGAAAGAAAATATACTGCCCAAATTCTTTGTAGAAGGAGAGCAAACAGAAGTCCAGAGATGACATTTTAGAATTATGGATTCAATGCCTTAAACAGATTGAAGGAAAATGTTTGTTTGGTGATTAATTTTTGGATGCTCAAAGCATTACCCTAATTAGAAGCATATACTGGTAGGTTGCAACTTGCAACTGCATATACTTAGGCATATCAGAAAGAAATTATACTCTATACATCTTATTCCTTGTACCATTCAATTAATCTGCTTTTGTTAATTCCCCACTAATAAATCTTTTATTTATATTCTCGTTCCATGAGAATTCTGATGTGTTGTTGGCGCTAGTCGGGCGCTAGTCTGGGGTCTAGCGCCTAGGCGGATTTAAGTAAATCTATTATATTTCGGGTAAATAAGTGTCTATTTATACTTACAATATATATAATTTCATCATAAACTACAAAATATAATGACATATATATTATAAAATATTGGAACATAATGAAAACATGGGGAACAAACATATAATATATTTAAGTATTCAACAAGTCTCTTACAATTTATTGAAAAAAAATAAAATAATAAAAGTTATCTATTTTCTGTCCAAGTGAGTCGCAACCTAGGCGGGTTTGGGCGGGTTAGGCGGGTGCCTTAACAAGTCTAAGCATCCTTTCTTAATTTTTAGAACAGAACCAGTTGTATAAAGTTATGTGCCTATCATGGTCAGTGAAACCGAAGAATCTCACCCAAATGACAATATTTAAGGGGCGGGTTTTACCGCTAACATTACAACAATCGAGCTGCAACTCAAACGTGCTAGATTTACCTAAAATTAAATTGAAATGTCTGATTTACAATACAAGGACCAGCAAACAAGAATATATTCTTGTCCAACCTTAAGGATTTAGCTACACAATGTTGGCCCGTTGTCCTTTGATTATTCAATACCAGGTGCAAACAATGAAATTTCCATATTTCAAAAGAAGCCAAAATGAATATATAAAACACAATGCAGATGCAGGTGATTATAAAGAAGTGCTTGGTAACGAACCCATTAAAACAACGTTGTCGCTGTCTTTATGTTCCCTTAGCTTCTCTGGCTTCACCTTCGAAAATAGACCTGAGAGTAATCCGGAACCTGACCCTCCCCCAAACAAGTCCAGAAGTCCACTGATCTCAGCACTGACCCCGGAGGTTGCCCTCTTAATAGGCTGTGCTGGTTCGTCTTCCCTGAGGCGTGCCCCGCAAGTGCAGTCCATGACCTTTCTTAAGCAAGGCTTGTGGAATACTGATTCGCAAGACGGACACCTTTCAATTTCATCCTCCTGCCAATAACTTTTAGTCAGATTATAACAACTACAGTTACTAATTCATCACGCAATATATGGAATTCAAGGGTTCCTGGTAAGGGAAACAAAATATTCAGTTGGTTTGCAAAATGAGGGAACACATAAGAACCGAAATACAGACAAACACGAAAGGTCTTGTTATCCACATGAACAGGAACCATATATTGTATAATAGTACTGCTGATGCCCACCTGAAAGGGGAAAATGAGAGATGAAGGGTCACTGCATGCTTGTCGTGCTCCACAGGGGACTCCCACATCACAGCATATGAGACACTGCTCCGTTATATGGTCCAGAATTTTCCTCAAGGCAGTCTCCAAAATCACGGGCAGCACTGCCACAAAGATAGTACGTCAAAAAATATATATGTGCACACGTACATATCAGGTCGGGCTATCACAGGTAAATTCATAAATCTGTCTTATTTCCGTTATAAGAAAGAAACAGACATGCATGATATGAGATAAAGCTTGTTACTAGAATCCAACCTGCAAAGGCTCCTTTGGAAAGATCAATGAGGTCTCTCAGTGCAAAAAAATCATTGCTTTCTAGAAGATATCTTCGAGACCTGAATCCATTGTTGATTGACCTACGGAATGGGCAACGAACATAAGGAAGAATGGTTCCCATTTTCTTCCTCACACCCATAACATGAAGCAATGCTGGAACCTTCGAGAAAAGGAAGGGATTAACTGCACTGACGCAGAGCATGGGCTGCAAAACAAATGATCATATAAAGATTAAGTTGGATGTAAAATGTTAAAAATATGTCAGTATATTGCTTACTCATGTAGTTGCAATTCACTGACATAACATATACATAATTTAATCACAAAGGTGTGCTAGTCTTCATAGTACCTGGTCATGTATAGAATCCAGATAAGATTTAGCATATTGCGAAACAGGATATTGAGTAAAATCCCAGTTATGCAACACTCTTGCTGGTATGATTGCAATTTCATTTGTATGGCACGAAGAGCAAAATAATTGACCAGTATATTCACAAAGTCGAGGCTTGCCCCATCCTAGTGTCTGTGCAAAATCCTGCATCAAAGTCCTTCCATCATCAAAATGCTTGTGGCATCCAGCACAAGTATAATGTTGTGCTTCTAGCATCTGCTTCAAAGATTTGGATTGTCGAATTTCAACAATAAGTGATATGGTTTTTCCCAAAGTGGATATATCTTCTGTGTCTGCTCTTCTAGTTAGAGACTCAGGTGCATATGATTCCAGGGAGCTAGGAACTGAATCTTGGGGAGAGAGAAACCATACTAATGCACTCGGCGGACTGGAAAAGAACCTGTAATGGAGAACGGACTGCAGACATTCTTGGATGAGAACACTTCTCTCTGCAATAACATCAGGAGACGCATTTCCAAAAATCTTTCTGGATTCCTTTTCTACAGCAGACCAGGGAGAAGGTAGATCCCAGCCGTGGTCAGAAAAAAATGTTTTTAATCGACGATAGAGTGTAAAGAAATCGCGATATCGACGTTCCACCTCCCATTGATCCTCGCCACTCAATACTCTTATTTTATACACAGTGTATTCTTTAACTCCCACCAGTCTTTCACTAAATGAGACATCTCCCTTCTTCTGCCTTGCACCCACCACTTCGACCCCATCAATTCTCAACGAATGCTGATTGAACAAATGAGCATCATCTGTACCAGAAGTAGAAGCAGTCGACCCACCATCTCTTACTAGCAGAGATTGCTGTGATTGTAAGAACCTGTTGCCATGAGTGAACCTTGCCCCTGGGGACTCAGCAGAGTCGAGCAGAATTTCCTCCATTTCATTAACAACCTCATCATAGAATTCATTAAGCTCAAAATTATCCATCTGCAGCATTAGCAATACAGAAAATGAGATACAAACAACTTAAAAGAGAGACACAAAAATATTCTTATACGGATAAAATCAGGCCGTCATAGCATATAACTACAAATGTCATTAACCAGCTATTCACTTGCAAAAGGTGGTACAACAAGTAATATACACACATTGCTGATAACAAGCACCGGTAAGCTCCACTCACGATTGAATAAGAGTATAATATAAGCTACCATCCGAGTAAAGACTTGAAATTCTTCGAAGACAAACACTGCTATATGTTTCCTGAATACCAAGAACTGGACAGAATATAAAAACAGAGATACTTCTTGGAGTATCACAACAAGCACAATATGCATTCAATATTCACAGAGACATGAAATCGCACATGGCTTAGACCAATCAAATGCAAAAAATAGTTAAGTTGAATTACAATAATTTAGTGCCACCCAAAAGAAAAAGTGTATTGAGCATGACTAACCTTAACTGGCATAGCATATTCTTCAAGGATATCTTCTAAAACAGGACTTTTCGTAGTATTATTTTCAAAAATTGATGGCAGTGTACTTGGCTTATGGTCCTCAAGGAACTCTGTCTTCATATTTCCAGAAGTTCTGGTTGAATAGATGCTAATTTGATTAGTTGAGAAATCCGAAAGGGGGTCCAATTTAACTTTTAAAGTCCCCAACTTTTTCTTTTCTAAATCTTGGCCGTGATCAGTCCCAAGGACCTCCCCAGTATTCATATATGTATGCACATCAGAAACACCATTATCCAAAATGCTCAAACCCTTTTTGTCAGGAATTTCTTTTGCTTGTGGATCCGGCTGAAGTTCAAGGACATTGCCAACCAAGGAATCTTTATTATGTTTTGCTGATTTGTCAGAACCTGGAACTTGATTATTTGTCGAAGGAATATCTCTTGAATCTTCTAGCTCTGGTTCTTGAACATTTTGAAAACCAGTCAGGGTAGTAAAAGAACTTTTGGTAAACTCAACCAAATCAGCAACAGCTTGAACTTGATAACTGGCCACAGGAGTGTCCTTCACATCTTCTACTCTATCGGTTTCAAGAAAACTTGGAGAACTAGCTAGCTTCGTGGAACTGTTAACATTTTCTACCGATTTACTATCAGCTTGAACTTGTTTGCATCCAGGCTGCACATCTGTCAAGTCATTTCCTTGCTCAATTTGACATGCATTCTGATGCTCAACTGAAGTGATGGAAGTGGAATTCGAAACTTTCCTTTTGGTTTCAACTTTCTGTCCTCTCTGGTCCTCAAATATGTTCGTGAAAGAATCTAAGTTATTTCCTCCAGTCTCTTCCATGAAATCATCCCAATCATCGGAACCAAAGGCTACAGATGTGTTAATAAGAAACGGATTTTCATTCTGGGGTTTTTCTTGCTGATAATGGTGGACATTTCTCTGCTGACTAAAACCACTCTTGCACTCATCATCAAAACCATAGTTGTACACGGACCCCTCGTCCTCTGAATACTCATTAGAGGTCACCCCTTCCTTCCTACCCATCCCTCCTCCATCAAATTCTTCAACTTTGGGTACAAACTGGTTCCCAATTCCAACCTCTTTCGAATCATTGGTCTCTTGGGCAGCCACACCAACTCCAACACTATCATTTCCCACAACTCCCCTCCAACCTTCCATACCTTTTTCACTGTCCTCCTCACTATTATCCGAACCATACTTCACATCCAAACCCCCCCTTAAACCCGATGATCCACTCTCAAGCTTCCAAGACATCAATTCATCCACATCATGAGCTCCACCACCATCCTCATTGCCATACAATTCCAACCCACTAGACCCGTAATTCGCAGTCCCCCGTCCTCCAATACTACCACCCTCCTTCCCAAACTCAATCCTACCACTACTCAAAACTCTCCGATCCTCTCGATTCCTCTCAATCCTCCCTCCCAAACTAATATTATCCAAACCACCACTCTCCTCCCCAAGTCCCGAACTTTTCAGAGACCCGAATTCGGGCTCCGGGAAATCATTGAAAACCGTGATTGTGCTACACATGCTCTGCGTGCCCATCATCGAGTTGGTGCTACAATAGCGC